TGCAGTAAAACAATTTAAAAAAAAAATGATAAATGCATTTATGAAATCCTAAAATGTTAATACAATATATTAAAGTAATTTAAAAAGAATGATTGATGATTATAGTTTACCTGTTAGATTTTTATTTCCGTCAACATTCTTCATAAAAATAATTAATCGTATCTACATGTAGAATGTAGATTTAGTTGCCTACCTCGTTAACCCGGAATTCCAACCAGGTTGGGTTTTTTCTATAAAGCCAGGCGCGGATCCCGGGCCCACCCAAAATTTTAAAGAACAATAATTTTAATTTTCAAGATTGGCATTCAAGTTGTTATTTTAGATAACACTTCACGGTCACACGTGTACTCGTAATACGTCTGCTGTGAACTTCCAATACGCGATACCTGAATCCAAATTTTAATTAAATAATTTAAATATTAAAATTTGTTGGAAATCCATCTATGAATTGTTGATGTGCTGAGCATATACATCAAATAGGTAAGTTTTATTTTGTTTTTTAGCTATTTATTAAGGCATAACCATTTATTTTATATTTAACAAATTGTTTGCGCAATTATTGAATACTTACACGAAAACAAATACATACCTAATACCTATATGTACAGTATATACACGTAGATTGTTATATTATTATAGTAAATAGTTATTCAAGCTCTGTAATCCAAGCTCCAAAATGTTTTTAGACTTTGACACACTTATAAAATTGCCAGGAATTTCTACAGATAATCAATTTATTGAAAAGTTGAGAGCACAATGTGATTTAGGAAAAAAAATGTTTGCTGCAGATTCAAATTCTATAGAAGCCTATTTATCAATTAAAAGCATGGGAGCATCATTCTTACAGCTAGAACAGTGTTTCCCAACCGGTGGTCCGTGGGCCAGTCATAGGTGGTCCGCGGTACCTTTCTTAGTTTTCTATTAAAAATTTTTTTTTTTTTTAAACAGCGAAAAATATTTTATTTTACCGTAATATACGGTTATCTTATCGTATACAAAAATCACACTAAGTAAATTATTAGTAAAGTTTAATCTTAATATATATAAATCTCGTGTAAATTTTTGTTTATTCTTGTCAATGAGCAAAAAAAAAAGGTCTTCCTAATTTGAGTAAAATTGAGGTGGTCCGCGACCTATAAAATATTGTCAAAGTGGTCCGTGGTGGTAAAAAGGTTGGGAAACACTGAGCTAGAAGAAGTGTACAGACGAATTTTAGTTATTCAAATTTCAAGTGCTACAGCTGAAAGGAGTTTTTCTACAATGAGGAGAATTAAAACGTATAATAGATCGACCATGACCGGAAAACGTTTACGCAACCTAGCTCTGCTATCGATTGAACGAGAAAAAAGTGAAGAGTTAATACAAAATCCAGACGAAATTTTAAATGAATTTGCTAGTAATAAGTTAAGAAGGTTAAATTTTTCCATGTAACTGTATTTCAATATATTTTTTTTTAACTATTATTATATTTATAACTAAATGAAAATTATTCTTTATTAAATCTTAATTTTACTGCATTATCTTATGTGGTTAAATTTACGGGCCCGCCCAAAAAAATATTCCTGGATCCGCGCCTGTATAAAGCCCGGGTTTTTGCCAACCCTGATTTTAGGGGGGATTTTATACTATTTATTATATAGGTACAATTAATGTATAAGGAAATATATACTAGCATATTTATTTAATACGCGTTTAATAATCTAATAACGTTCATTAATGGTCGAACAATCTTCAGCTTTCAATTTCGACATTTTTCATTTTAGACTTTTCATTTCCTCTCCACTAACTCATAGATTAACATAGTATGTGCCCATGCTAAGTGTTGCTAATGGGTGACTTCTTATCCCCGTACTATATCCTGCTTGTTTACTCTATTCAAATACGCTTATTGTGCTCTTAGTATAGATTGTGTAATTCTTATAAAAAAAAGAAGACTTTTCATGGTTATTGTTGTAAATTACTGTGATTTTATTGCAATTTTAGTAGCGAATGCTAATATACTATAATTACCTAATATATTATTATTTTACCAATTTATAATCGTAAATATTTGTAGGTACCTAACTACCTAAGTGTCCTACTGTCCTAGTCTACACTCTTCAGTGATCCATTCCTACATTCATGCTTATGATTTAATTTCCAATGTTACAATACTTACAAGTGTCAAAATGTTTAAGCCGTTATAGTATGAATCCAAAAAAATTATTTTTATTCGTACTTCTGACAAATAAAAAATGAATGTTGAAAATTTTGAGAAATTTATAATTTATGTATAAATATTTGACATTTCAATGATATATTATTAGAAAATGACCTTTACGTAATAATTACTAATTTGTGCGTTAATTAAAAAGGACTAAGTCTTTTATAAGAATTAGTATGATTGATTATGTCACTAAATATTTTATATTTTATCCCATTTGTTATTGAGATACCTATATATGATTATTATTAAGTACATTAGTAACTGTCTATTATAGTATTATTAGAACAGGCCAAATAGGTTGGCCTTATTGGAATGATTAGGTCGTTTAATCGTCGTATAATAACACTAGATGAAGTAATTGATAGCTATGTTTGAGATATCTCAAAAAAAGAAGATTTGATTTTGTGTTTTAAATAATAATGCCAAAATGTAAAATTGTAATTATTCATTAATGTAATGATGTATAATATGAGTAATAAAAAAATAAATATAGTTGCGTACTATCCACTATCGTGTAAAGAATTGTGTTATATAACTATTGTACTTCTCTCGAATTTATATTTTAAACATGTCTGTAAAACGATATTTATAGAAAATTCTCTAGAAATCTTTAATTCAAGAAAATTAAGACCTTTTTTTAGCGTATAAGCCAAAATCAGAATCTGGATTATCACGTTGGTGAGATATTACAATTTTTTTTATATGTATATAATATGACTTAAAAATATATTTATTATATTTTTAATTCGTTATTGGAATAATGTGGTATACCTACTGCTACTGGTATCTCATTATTGGAGGAAAATGAGAAAAAATGTAATATATTATATAAATAACAATTCAATGTATGTTACTTGTGATGTAATTTCGTCATGGTTGCCACTTGGCAGTTATTTATATTTACGAAATTTACGTTTAGATGAGCGTACCTAGTGGACACAATTTTGGGGGATACACCACTGGCCTACTTCATTCCGTTCATCTAAAGTTTAAATTGGTACAAACTTATAAATTATAATTCATAAACTATTAGTCCAAAAGTTGAAGTTAAATAAATTCAATTATAGATTATCATGACTTGGATTATGATGACTTGATCATACAAACCTGCGAATAGTTATATAGCAGTATCTACTTATATAATTCATCCCATACTTGCTCCACCATGTGCATATCCTTTGCAATTAACTCGGTTTTGTAGCTCATCTTGATGGTCACATACTCACATCAGTATTAGGTAAAAAAGTAAGGTGGTATATCGTATATAGATAAACAATGTACCTTTTACATATTCCAAAAAATAATTGTAGTCATGCTTGGCGTAAGGTCCTGTGACCCGGGAGGCCTGCAGCCGATTTAAAGCATTGGATGAATCATTTTGAATAACGAAAAACCCTGTATATATATAAATATATTATAATAATATAAATAACATGGTATGATGCCAAATACTACAGACATTGAAGTGATTTAAAATGTGGTTGTAAACATATTTTTATATATATAATATACTCTTGACTTGACTATTCAAATATTTTTTGTATTTATGTAGGTAGGTACCAACCTATTAGTATAAATATTTATATTTAAACTTTGGTTCTGGTTGGTAAATTTACCAATATCCTATGTGGTGTGATGTATAACATGAAGATGACAACTTGGTAAGTTTTTTATTCAATGTGACCATAAATTATATTATTTTTGTTTTTCTATACGTTTATGGTATACAATGAATAAGTTTACAATTAAAACGTAACATTTAGAAATTCCTAAAATAAATGTCATGTTTATAGTTTATAGAAGATATACCTACCTAAATTTAATTTTATTATATAGAGAATTCTGTTTCAATTTGTATGTAGATTGTAGGCGTTTTCATCAAAGATACACCACTGTGGCCTTCTCCATTCATGAAATATATTTTATACTGACCTTATTCGCATTGTCGCATTATTTATTGTTAGATATTTGCACTATATACCTACGTTTGTCACAATTTATAATTCTAATCAAAATGAACTATTGTAGTTTGTATGTATGGTGGTAGACAGTAATAGTATAGTAGGTAATTATTAGTTTTATTTATTTTTTAATAATTACCACATATTAAAAAAAAAACGTTTGTCATAATTATTTTCTTTTTCGTTTGCACTATAATTGATATAGTTTAGGTTTATACCTAGTAGGTATTTGTTCAAATTTTAACTTATAGCTATCCCAAACCTTAATTGATAGCTAGCTTTTCGTAATTGTAACGAAGACCTACCTTCGATATACGAATAGCCAGTAGGTATCTGAACAACTGTTAACTGCCATAACATTACATAACTGTCATAACTCATAAAGTCATAACAGTCGTACCTCGTAAGTAAAAAGTATGTTCGGATCGACAATTATTGGTGGATCATCATTGAATATTTTACATACGGAATCTATAATTAATCTATTATTAAATAGATAAGCGCATAAGTTACTGCCATTATTGGTGTAGTGAGTACCTATGCATAGTACCTATATATGGATATAAAACAAATTATAAAATATATGTTAAATACTAAACATTTTGTTTCATTGTTATTTGTTTTATAATAATTGTTTTGTTTAGTTTGTTAAAAAGCAAAATTAGTATTAGTATTTAGTAGTATTTAAATACCTACTTAATTAAAACAACACGTAATTATTTAGTAACAACTTAAACTTATAATAATATAAAACGATATTTATAAGTATACATCAAGATGTAAAAAAAAATCAACAAAAATCATAACAATATAATTGAATAATTAAATTTTAACTAATTGATCAGAGATTTGATTTTAGCGTTTTCTTCTTTGTGTGGTTCATCTTCTTTAAGCTTGTTGATATTTTTTGCTTAATATTAAAAAACATAATAGTCAATACTTGAATTATAATAAAGTCTTATTTTTATTCTATAGTATCACTAACCAGTCAACAATGTAGTTTTATCGAAGTATTCTTTGACCGAACCAGCTTCAAAACCACGAGACAGTTTGTATATGGGAATAGATTCGACGGTTGATGATATTGGCTCCAATACTGTAGTAATTATGCAATTAAAATAATAAAATGTAATCACACAAAATGTACTGTGGTTTTTATTTTTTTTAATTGAAACATTAGCAATTTTGTACCTACTATTTATTTCCACAATTAAAAAAAAAATATATAGATTATAGGTATAATAATAGTACCATACTATATACTAAGTAATAATAAGATATTGTATGTTAGTTAATATAAATTATTGTTATATAATTATTATAATAAGTAATATAAATACATTTATAAATTGTTATTTAAAAAAATGATCTAAGATGGAATATTACGAAGTACTGCTATAATTACCTATCTACTGTCTATTATATCTCTATTAGTTAGGTATCTAATTATAATAACACCAAAATACCTGGTTCCAAATATTGACCATGTTTCATGTACATAGTAGATTCGGTCGACTCAAATATCACAACGATGAGCAAAAATGACAATGTTCTAACGGCGATTTGCATTATTATTATTATTATTTGCAAAATTGAAATAAAGTTTAATCAACGGTCCTATAAAACGTGCACACTGGTCAGACGATCATTCATAACTTCTGCGAGACTATAACATTACTCTAAATTAAAAGTGAAAGGAAGTAGCGGTATAGAAACTAGTTCATTCATATTATTGCATTATTACATGTACCTACCTACTTACCTAGCTATAGTTGCCCATATTTGTAGGTGTCTGCTTAAAAAATATTGTAGTGTGGGATTTCATATAGGTGTATATATATATAAAGTATCGTATTATTTTGTTTTGCCATCATACAAAATAATAACCATAACAAATAAAAACATTACTGTTATATAGGAAAATTATTTATTACACAACTTGATTTTAACTTTACTTTCTCGGTTTCAAAATCAAGAAAATATTGTAATCTGAATTCAAAATGTTTATTAGACTTTCTGAACAATGGCAAATTTATTAGAGACTACAGACACTAGAAGTTTTAAACATAGGCTTCTATGAATTCAAGATAAAAAACCTGAAGAATTTAGAATTATATTATTAAAAGTTAAGTTTAACTTTTAACAGCCGCATATTTTAAAATACAAATATTATATCGATGGCTATTATAATTATTACTCAAATATAATCTACAGTTTCATCTGTTTAACGGAGAATGCTATCGTCACCCATCATGATCTAATTAGACAGGTAAGGCGTAACCAACTATATACGTACTTTATTATATTGTAAGCCGTTATTGCAATTAATAAGATTAATGTAATCATGTAAATATTTATACCTCGATTCACATATATATATTATACTAAAACCGTTATTCTTGGTTTTAATATGTATTTATTCGTCTAAATTTGAACTTAAAAAGTATTGAACTATTTATGAAAAAACTTGTTTTAAATTTTCAATCCTTATTCCTTATAGCTATACAATTTTTAACTACACGATTATTTGAATATTTTTTCAATATTTGAACTTTAAATATTTATAATTATCGTGCTAATTATCGTGCCTACCTAATGATATTTAATATTTCTTAACTGCTATTTTAACTACTTATGAGGTACCTAATAAGTAATATTGTTAGATAATTCTAATCAAAAAGAGTCAAAGTATTTTTAACATTTTATCATGTACCTATATTATATAAAATGATAAAATAAACATTTGACGAAAATTTCAAGTACTTAGTTAGTAGTTATCGAATAATATCTAAATAAGAAAATCGTTTTATGAGAATTTGTTATAATATCCAATGTCTAACTTCAAAAGCTTGTAAAAATTTATTTGAGTTTCCGGTAATCCTTTTTTTTTGTTAAATGTATGAAAACTTAAGGAGAATCTTGTATTACATTTTCAAAGCTTAGATATAAATAGAAAAACTGTAAGAATTTCTAACTAGGAATAATTAGCCAATTTTCGTGATTTTGATGAATTTTGTCAATATTAGAACTTCAGACGCTCATAAAAAATTATTGTAGCTCAATTTTTTTTTTTTTTTTTAATTTCCTACCATCAACAACTTATGAGTAATGTAGTTTTATTACATTTTAATCACAGTTTTTGTTTATTTTTTCTGACGCTTTTGAAAACTATTGAGAATTTCATACTTTTGACCTCTGAAAAGATGCCAGAAAATATGCCGTTGAAGAAAATCGAAACATTTTTACTGCCAGAAAAGGTGATATAAAACACTAGAAAAAAATAATAATAAAAAACACATCATTGTAAAATTATTGCTTCGTTCAAAATCTAAAATACATTGCCTCACAAACAATTAAATTGTATAAATAATAGTCATAACACTCATAACTATAATATAACTACCTACCTGGTACATAATATAAATATTGTATAATCTATAGGCTTGTCAGTTGTTGTTGTTGTCGACTGGTTATGACTTACTCGAATCCCCCTCCACTTCAGTTGTTTAATCTGGACATCTGGTTGTAAAATATGTTTAATTTGCAACAGATATACGTATTCAATATTTGAAAATTGAATATTACAGCCAAATTTTAAGCTGTAAGTTGGTGTAACTGTATAAGCAACTTGCGCTTTTAGGTAATTCCAATATCTTCCAGTTATATTGTTAAATATACTGATGCCCCAAAAAAAGATCTAGAACAGCGGTTCTTAACCTTTTGTAGATCGCGGACCTCTGATGAAAGATTTTTAGAAATCGCGGACCCCTTACCAATTTTTTTACAAAACATCTCATGTTATCATAACCAAAATTATAATAATTATTTTATATTAAAAATTACATTAGTAGACAACAAAACATACACATTTCCAATTATTTTTATTACAATTACTTTTTTATAAAAATGTAATATAAAACTATAGTTGAGTACGATACTACGATCGATCAACTGCAATTATAGTGGTAGTAAATATAAAACTGCCGAGACTACAGTGCTGTACGCATGTACATTTCGTATGAACAAGAAAAACTGATTAACTACTTAATAAATACTAATAATACAATTATTTGGTGTAGAATCTACATATTATTATATATGAAAAAAAAAATAATAATCCAATAATATTATAATAATGCACTCTGTCACTTATTGATGTATGTTATGTGTTGAGGCTGCCGCGGACCCCCGACACGAGTATCGCGGACTCCCAGGACCACAGGTTAAGAACCGCTGATCTAGAATAATATTGGACGTAAGGTTAACGGGTGATGTCCAAACGAGGCATAAACCAAAAATCGAATGATGCGGAATATCTTATCAAAAAGGTCGAAAAGAACAATATAGTGATGTTGATGCACAAACGATAGCCATAGGTATTAGTGTATTATTTAAACCAACACACAATCAGATGTGTTTTTTTTAAACTATAAAAGTTAAACTCAGAGTCATACATCCAGTGACTTAGTGAACAGGGTTTTATGACGTCATGGTGGAACTTTTTAGGGGGATGGGGTGTTTGGATACATCATGGTAACCAATAACATAAAACAAAAATCAAAATATTTAATCACAGTATAATAATTAGTTATAATAATAATATGTATTATATATTTATATATTATATTAAGTGGATAAAAAATTGGTAAATACTGAAATACCTATATGTTGGGCATTATGGTTTTTGGTTTATAAATGTTCACCTCATCACCACTGGCACTGTCTATTGCCTCACCGCAACCAAAACAAATTAGAAGTGTTAAGTTCGGTAAATTTACAAATTATTTTTTTACCTAAAAAATTGGCATGCGAGTATGTGACACCTCAAATTAAACGTTTTAACAAGGAGAACATTCATAACATATTATCCATAGAATAGTTGGGGCCTGGTGTGACTCGGTATGGTTGGCCTCAGTCACTAACACGTCGCTAGTTCCCGGTTGGATGACCACTCAGGTTTCTATTGACGAATCCTTGCCCCACATATTTACGTGTTAATCAACCAACCGTATTCCCCTACAAAATGCTAATCGTCATAGTTGCCGATGCTTGAGATAAAAAAAAAAAAGTATTATAGGTAATTGGTTGATATAAAATTTAAAACGTTCAACACACCCACAAGCACAACTACTGATCGATGTTATATTAAATACCGTCAATCGAGGTGACTTGGAACTTTGAGGTGAAATGAAACACCCCGGTTTTTTTTTAAACATATCAGGTTATCTATGAAACAAAATGATATAATTTAAATCTGCCTGCATTTAAATTAAATTTACAATATTTGTGATAATAAATGTTATCATCAACCATGTGGTTGGTCTTATCATTACCACCGAAAAAAATAATCAAACATTTCTTATGTTAACAACGATTTTATCATTGCTCTCAAAAGTGCTTCAAATGTTGGTGATTGAAGTCAAATTTAAAGATTTGTATATTTTTTATACATTAAAGGACACTTCAAAAGCAGACTTTTGTAGTTAAAAGTCCTTAAACATTTTTTTCTAATTTTATAACTTAAGTTTTATTTTACAAAAGAAAATTGAGGGTGACTTGGAACACCAAAAATGCCAAACAATTACGAGCGTATACCGAGTAGCCGGACATATATAAATGACAGTGACGAAACACTTTAACAGGCCCTCTATGATATTTAAAATGTATTTGTGTTTATTTTGAAGAACTATTTAGTTATGTTTTTCTATTTAGAAAGAATTTTTATTTTGTTTTTATCATGTTATTGATATTTTATTATTTAAATATTTAGTTTACTGTTAAAAAAAGGTAAAGTTAACCTGTTTCTTTTTAATATTTATTTAACATGTTCCTGTGTTAATTTTTAAAATAAAAATTTTGTTCCAAGTCACCTCTAACGTTCTTGAATTGAATTTCACATTAAATTTTCATAGCTGTTCCAAGTCACCCAAAAATTGAGGTGACTTGGAACACGTACTTTTTACTTTTTTTTAAGTTCAGTTTTGGTCAAAAAACTAAATGAAAGGTCTTATCCTACTCATGAGACGAATGCAAACATTTATGTATTTTTTGTAGTCCAGTGCGATTTTTTTTAAGCTCAGAATAACAAGAAATATGTCAAAATCGTTCCAAGTCACCTCGATTGACGGTACCATACTTTTAATTATTATCACTAAATAACCACTGCTATCATTAATTTGATTTTATCGACAACGTGGTCTATGATAGTATCACATTTTGTGATTACCTACAGGCTACAACCTACTACCTGAATCGGCTGAATCTGATTTGATTAAAGCGGCTCTTAGTGACTAATGGCTATTATATTTTAAGGGGGGAACAATTTAGGCAAGTTCTAATCGTGTCGTCGCAGATCGTATATTATGTTAGTCAAAAATGATTAGGGTGAGTGCGGTTCTATGTAAAATATAAAATTAGAATTTTGAAGAAAATATTCAAACCCTATAACAATAGATTTCATATCACCCGACTGCAGGCTAACTATGCACAAGTCAACGAAAGCACTCGAAAAATATTTTTGTACACTCACGACAGTGAATAATACTAATAAGCTGGAGAAAAATTAACATACTTCTAGTAATCTAATTTCAATTTTGAAAAATTATTTGAATTTATCAGCCTCTTTTCTATGAATTGTAGGAAACAGAATTTGGTCATTTCGAATAATTTACGTATTACGGTGCCAAATGACTTCTTTCTCAAAATTAACTTGCACATTAAAGTGCTAACAAGACAAAAAAATAATTAGTTTTTCCTACAAAATACAGAAAAGAGGCTAACGAGCTCAAATTAGTATTCAAAATTAAAATTGGACTACGTACTAGAAGTATGTTCATTTTTTTGCCAGCCTATAGATCTAATATCGTCTAAATGCATGAACAATTCCATCGTTTGAGTCTCCTTAATTTGAAATTTATTTTATAGTTATATTTTTAATATTTACGGTCGTTTAAAATATTGATTTAAAATACATGCAAAAGTTCATAGTACATTACTATGTAGATACCTACTTAGTAATTACGTATAAAGTTATAGTACCCTACTATCCAGTAATTAGTAAATAATGAAAGTAAGTGTTACCACAATTATAAGTTCATAACAAAAATGTAGAGAAGAGTTCCTCAGGGTGTCCATATGGTAACCTAATAAAGATTTGAAAATTTACCAAATTTACAGATTATGTAAATTTTTATCGGTAAAATCAAAAATAAATGTACGTCAATTTGACATCTCTAAAAAAAATACGTCACTGGCCATGTACCTACCTATTCAATCCATCTAGTATTATTTTTGTTGTGGCATTAAATTCTATAGGTTACACGTCATCATAAAGACGTGATGACAACGAGGAACGAGAATCTGCGAGAGCGAGTAGAAAAATAGAATATTAGAATCTTTACAATTTAGTGTTCAGAATATTGTACAAAGTATAAACGGCCAATGGTCAATCTATATCCCATTGGGCTAAACTTGCGTTGAAGGTTTACGATTATTGTGAACTCGACCCTCGTTTATTTTAACACATTACACTCATTTGCATAAACGAAATAACATTTATTTATTGGAACACGGACAGGCGGACGTTGCACTGAACTGAAATAAACATTTTTAATGGATTTTATTTATTTATATACTTGCCAAGTTTTTGAATTTCAACAATCCGATTATTTTAACTGATTGGAAAAAAGTCGTATAGACATTTTCGTACACTTTTTAGATGGATTAAAAATGTATGGGTTTATATAATATTATAATAGCCAACAGTTTTACACCGTAGGTACTCGGTTATTAAATTAATGGACTGCGAAGTTTCTAAATAATAAAATACTAACAGTTAAGTAGTAGACCCTGTTGAAAGAAGTGTTGCTTGATACTTAGTGGCCAGCGTCCCAGCCTATTAACAAATGACATGAAGTACTAAATATATTAACGAATAAATTAAACAAAAATATTTTAAAAGACCTACTTTCATAGTTCATACATGCCAATATAATATTTTGCAGCACACAAGGAAATTTACTAAAAACAAAAATGTTCTTGTAATGAGAGTAAAAATAATTTTTTCAAAAATAGTAAAATTATTCAAAATTATATATTATTTTAGTTCTATAGTAGTTATATTACATAACTATTAATATTTTAAAGTCATTAAAATAATTAAATGATTTACAAATGCTGTCTTTGTAGTTTGTACCATTTTTTTAAAATGTATTTCAAATAGTAAGTTATATAAGAACTAGGGATGGGCATGAAATCCGAATATCTGAATTATCCGAATATCCGGATATCCAAATCCGGATTTGAATCAAATTCTTATCAGGATTTCCCGAATTATCCGGATTTATGGATTTTCTTTTTATGTGACTTCAGACTTACAAATATTTTTAATGTATGGTAAAATAAATTATTTTATTATAATGAAAATTTAACAAAATTTTATATTATATCAAAGTTCGTATATGAGTCATTGAACAGCAAAATCGAGTTGAATAATCCGGATACTCCGGATAATCCGTGAATCCGGATTTGACAAATCCGAATAATTCGGATTTTTGAAATCCGGATATGCCCACCACTAATAAGAACAACAATAAAAAAACCAAAATAAAATATATTGACAAAAATATATTTCAAATTAAAATATTAAGTTACTATTCGATGTGAAGACAGTCCCTAAGTTATTTGAATATAAAATTAACAATAGTATTGAACAAATTTTAGTCAGAAAATAAAAATACACTTGTTAGTACCTCAAATAATTAAATAAAAGAATAAACATAGTTATTTTTATACTATAAGTAATTATTACAATAATCCAATCCAGTAATTGGTTGAATAACATTATTGAATTATTCAATACTCTAAAAAAAATACTCATTAAAATAAGCTTATTTATTGAAAAAATAAAAAAATATATAATACATACCTAATTGTTGTATGCTTATTTTATTTAATAGAAATAATAATAAGTAATCCATATCTTAAGTCATTATAAGATTAAAAATAAAACAAACCAATATCAGGCATTTTTAAAATTAAAAATTATATATTTGTTAAAGTTGATGAAAAAAAAAAAATTATATGCAAAACATTATTATGAGTCGAAAGATAAATCTTCAAACTATATGCTTATGTATCATTCTAAATCTGAACTTCGAAAGTGTGAATGGTTTAACAGACTCAACTTTTTAACATTTAATACCTGAAAAATAATAGTAATATCAAATGTAGTATTATTAAAAATGTATTCAAATGTATAAATATATTTATTTATATATTTTTATTTTTATTAGTGCTCAGAAAAAAAGGTTGGGTCAGAATTTGTCCATTAAATTATTTTTAAAAGTTATACTATTGAATGTTGAAATAACACACATAAGGATAAAACAAATATTTATTTTTATAGGGTATTTAATTTTAATTATTTTACTATAATAAGTAGAATTGTAATTACAACAAATAATTTTTTTTAAGTAGTTCTTTATATAATATCCTTTCATTATTAATTCAATCGATAGTACCAAAAAAAAAAAAAAGAGAGAGTTTATATTAAATAAAATAATGTTTTTATCAACTATCTGATATATTTTTAATAATTCACTGGTTTTCACATGTTGATGATGCAATAAACCCAATACTTGGTTGAAAAAATAAGCAGAATTTGGAAAGTGTTGTACTGGTTTGTTATAGCCCTGCCATCCATATAACAATAAATACATTGTATACACATCAAATAATGAGTTTATTTATAGATTCGATAATAATAATAAATAATGATTAATATATTGATATAGTATTAAAAAATTATAATAATAAATATATCAAATAAGTATAAAACAATGATAAATTAAAAAATGTTTAAAAATATTTATGGTTTCTAGGATTCTCAAAATTATTACCTAATTATTTATTATAAAAATAAAAGCTTATCCTAATTTGCAACAACATGGATTTTAACATAATCAAGTTGATCATAGATACAATTTCATGGACCCTAACTCAGGAGTCCACACACAAAATATCTAGAGAATGTAGGATACGGATAAATAGGGCAACAACAAACGTAGAGGAACTGATTTTTTAGACTCTTACATAGCAAAATTTATGTGGTGATCAAAACTAAACAATAGTGATCTGTCTGACACCATCTTAAAAGATATAGCAGAATTTTGGGAATCACAGAAACCATAAACATTTTTTAATTTATCATTGTCTTATACTTATACGATATAATATTATTTATTTTTATAATTTTTTAATATTATATCAATATATCTATCATCAAATTATTATAATTATCGAATCAATGAATAAACTCATTATTTTATATGTATACAATATATTTATTGTTATATGGATGGTGGGACTATAACAAACCAGTACCGAAAGTGTATGTGAAGGATACTAGGACAATAAACAAGGAATACATATAAAAGTAAACACAGATATATTATGAATAGGATGAGAAAAATATTTTGAGTTATAACTGACAAATTCTGACTTTACCAGCATTAGCAAGATTAATTATACAAAGACAGTACAAGATTTGTAAAATACATTTATTTCTGATATAATTAACTTTTAATACATTTCAATAAACTTACATCTAAATTAAATGTATGAATCTTATATTTTAGACGTGAAAAATAAGTTTTATTTCTTTTGATTTTTAAGACAGTAAAGTATTTAACTAATTTAATCAACATTATAAATTTACCTTCGGATTAACATAAATTGGTCTTCCGCCAGAGTTAGCATTTCTTAGAAGAGCTAAAAAATTAAATAATAACAGTTAGTTATTTTGTACTATTTAATATGTGTTAAATTTCATTATTCCACTTATGGTCAACATATATGTATGTTTTATGAGTGCATATTTGATAGCAAAATATTTTAATCTAAAGATCCATAAAGAGGAATATTGAAATTTGATTTATAATTATTAATAAATAGTTTATACTCATAATTGTTGTATGAGATTAACATGTTTTTTTTTTTCAATAAAATGAAAATAGTTTTGTGATTGGTTTGCTTAATAGTAGTTCCTTTTAATATTAGAAAAATATATTATCACTAGCTGTATCACCCGATTTTGCCCAAGGAAAATATGAACACACCTAAAATGCAGTACTACTTATATCGGCATATTTCGATAATAAATAAATACAATACATTTTCACTAACCGTTATACTAATGTAAAAGTTGAAACTAAATTATATTATATTGTTATGTTCTTAAAATTTTGGTACCAGACACCGACATTGCATAGCACTTGAAAATATTTCAATAAATAGAGTTTGTGATCAGTTTGTAATACTGTATCTTTATGAGGATGTCAGCGCCCTATTTGTTTTCTCTCTCTGGCCCACATGCAACATAGACGAAACGCATTAAAGCAGAATCATTTTTTCTATGTTTTTAAGTAATCTTAGAGTAAAATCACTCATTACAAAAAGATAGAGAATAATATTTTTGAAGGAATGACATATTGATTTTATATTTTATTATTATTTGACTTTGTATTCGACTTTCAGAATAATCAAAAAAATATTGTAAGTTTAAATTATGTTTAAATGGTTTTGGGACAATATTTAGACAAATTGATATGTCATTCCCTCAAAAATATTAATCTCCATCTTATTTTAATTGGTGATTTTACTCTAAGATTACATAAAAACATAGAAAAAATGATTCTGCGAAAATGCATTTTAGGTATTTTAGCCAGAGAGAGAAAACAAATAGTGCCCTGAAATCCTCTTGGCATAAAAAACAACTGGCCTTATTTATGTACCAATTTTCTGACAACACAATTTAACTTATTTGGAACTCTGTGAAAAAAAATTGTTAAATTATTTAAATGACAAGTTAAACAACTTTAAATACAGACACCCCCTTTCCACCACCCATCAGACAAAAAAATGAAAAATTGGGCAACTTTGTGACACACAGGAAATTATGTATTTTTAACAATACGGTGAAAAAAAATTGGAAAAAAGTTCAATAGTGTCGTCAGAAAATTGATACATAAAGCAGGCCCGTTCTTTTATATATGTAAGGATTATTTATATTGTATATTTTTATAATTGTAAGCAATGTAGAAGTCAATACCTATATTATAAAAGTCACAGTTTGTAGAAGCATATTTGCTATACAGTACTTGTTATTATTATTTACTTCTCTTGATTTTGGGGGTGTAAATTAATGTGTTATCTTGATAAAAAAAAAGTGAACTTACCACTTTTGGAAACAAGACCTGGACTACTTTTTTCACGATCACACGATGCACCAATACGTTCAAATACAGACTTTGAAGAGTTAAAACCTAAAAATCAGTATACAGTTTACTATTTTAGTTAATTTACATGAAATATTAAAATAACCATAAATATTAATTTGTAAATGATTTTAGTTTTGTTCTATACAGTAGTCAAAAATAATAGCAGAACAATTATTTCATCTATTACATTAACATTTCATCATACGTCTAGATAAAAATAAACTTAAAATACAATGGTCAAATACAATCCATCTGTTATTGACTGTATCATAATATTAATGAATATCATATTGTTATCAAACAGGACCGTAAAATGGTGTGAATAGGTTAATGGTATCAATAACTTAAAATTAGTTTTAATATTCTTTTTTTGAAGTTAAATTTCCGATCATTTTGAAATGAGTATATATTACATTTATCTCTGTTCTGAACTAAAATGAAAAATATACATTTAATCAGTATTTATTGAGGTTTATTTTTTTAATATTTTAAAATTTAATGAATTGTAAATACTAATGGCAAATTATATACAAATTTGATTAAATGTTTTGAGAAAGAAAAAAAAAAGGCACCACAAATAAGTTCTAGACATTTCAAAGATCAAATTATAAATGTGCTAGGAGAAATTATGACTTGTGAATTTTTTTTATAATCCATGATTCTCATTTAGTCATACATACAATTATAATGATCGCATCATATAAAAGTAAAAAATTGCATTAGTGTGTATATAGCATATTGTATAATGGTTATCTGGTTATCCAAGCTAATAATGAAAAATTTTACATAACTAAAAATTTTATAATCAGGAATCATGGGTTCATCAGTTATTAAAATACACATTTTATTTAAATACTTAAAATGTATTGAAATCAGTGTTTTCAATATATGTGTTCATAAATAAAAATGTATTTTAAGTGGTCAATGGTCCAAAATAATGCACAGCAGGTATTTACTATATGCTATGAACACAGATATGTAACGGAGAACCCTAGATTTAAGCATTTAACTATAATTGCAGTAATGACAGTTAATTAAAAAAATATATAAGTAGACATCATTTTTTACAATAATTTCATTACAAAACCATCTTCATAAATAAACAATTCATACTTGTTTCTTCCAGTTTTATTCTTTTTGAGAAAGCACTAGTTTCTTCAGTTGGAATACTTGGTCCATAATATACGTCACTTGATCCTTTAATAGTACGTTTGAATGTCGCACTAGCAGCGGGTTCGCTGGCTTGCTTGATTCCAAGACGTTTAAACACAGACGACTGTTAAAACAAATTAAATTGTATTTTAATTTGAAATATAATTTCATAATGTAATCAGTTACTTTTCTCGAGTCTGTGGGTGAATTATTACTATCATAGTTTGGAGTTGTACTGCTTACATCACCTACACCCAAACGATCAAAAACTGAGCTCTTGGTTTTCAATTCAGATGGTGGAGGGGAATCATCATCACTTTCTATAATAACTGGTTTAACTTTTATTGTAGTTTTAGACTTAGGAACTACTTTCCTAGTCACAACTTTAATTGAATTGTTTGATAATTGTGAAGGAATCTTTTTCTTCATTATTTTCAAGTGTGCTTCTTCGTCTTCTTCACTTTCACTGGAGACTTTGACCTTCTTGGTAACTAACTTTTTTCCTTTATTGGTAACTAGGTAAATAATAAATAAGATAAATAATAAGGTTGAGACATTTAAAGTATTTTACTTTACTAACCTATTTTTTTTTTTTGAGGTAAAGTTTCGTTGACTTCATTCTGAATTTTCTTAGTTATTAAACTTTCCACTACATTAGAATTGTAACCATCATAAAATCCCTTTAAATAAATATACACAATTAATTATTTCTTCACTAAACAAATAACAATCAAAAAATAATAATTACCTCTCTATATACATCTTTTGCATGTTTAAGGATTGCAATTATATCACCAACAACTGTTATACCCATTTCCTTGAGAATATCTTTGTCTAAATCCATTAACATATTAGACTGAATTCTATTTTCATAGAAAATAGTGGCATATTTTGATGATGCAAATGAAGGAATACCAGCATCTGAGAAAAACTTTATCCACCAATCTAAAAATAATAAAATATATAATATTTAAAAATTAATAAATATAATCTAAATTTTAATCAATTGCACATTTAATAATGAACATAACTAAATAAAAATTATTGTATAAAAATATATTTAAGTAGATACATACATTAATTGTGTAACTGTGAAATAAACAATTGCACCTATATTATAATGAAATTAACTTAGAATTGTATCATTTCTGTTTTTTGAAAAACATGCAGTTTTTGAACATGGAAATAAGATAGCTATGTTTTATGTAACAAACAAAACTTGTATGAAAGTAATGTCATTGCAGTAAAATAAAATGGCTCGATTTAAAATTATTGCCCAAAATATTGATAATTACGCTGAATAATTATTTGTTGGGATATTAAATCTAGCGATTTTTAGAAAAGAGCTTATAATAGTTTTCCTCAGAATTTTATCAGGATAAATTTTTATTCAAATGATGGACTTTATAAGTAGTATCCATAACAATATTATACAATTATGTAGTGGTACAGTAGCATGCCTATTATTTTTTCAAGGGGGGATATACAATTTTTAATGGACATTCAGTATGCACATATTATATTCATATTATTATTACATGTTGTATTGTGTACAAGATTTGGTCTCCAGGGAGGATATGACCCCCAAACCCACCACCCTCGAAGATACGCCACTGTAGTGTCATAACTTGGGGTAATTGTTTTTTTAGTGGCTGCAGGGGTTGGGGAGAATATAATATATTATATTACTTATTGTGCCTAAAAATGTATCTCTTAAATAATTTATCGATAATAAAGTATCAATAAGCCCAAGCATTTGGAAAAATTTGTCATAGGTATAATCTTCTATTTTATGAATTAGAGTTTAAACAGTGGGGCAAAACAATACGTAGGCTAGATATTACAAAACTATCATAAAATAATATAATATTTTAACTTGTAGTAGTCATTATGAGATAATTGAGTAAACCAAAAAATCAAATAGGTTAGGTTATAATAACATAATGTAGATACCTCCTCAGCTTTTACTCAATTTCAAAACAAAAACGAAATTTAATATTATTAGTGGACTTAGTATCTTTTAGTAATGATTTGTTGTGAACTTGATACTTTTATGACTATTTAAAAAGAAATCGGTAATTGGAAATGTGGTTTCACTATAAGTTTTCTAACATGTTTGATAATATTATAGTATGTTATATAATTTTAGATTAGTATACTTAACGCGTTGAAATACCTTTGCTAAAAGTAGACATGACTTGGTCGATAAATTGGTATTATTGATATTGGATACGAATATTACAGAACTATTAAATTCGAAATCGTAAGCTTATTACAAGACATTAGTTACACATTAATAGTCAATACTCAGTCAAAAAAAAATAAATCAGTTTTTAACAATATCACTATTCAGTAGTCGCTAGTCGCTACTTCACAGTCCTTACTCCTTGGTCCCTTGCGGCTAGCAAGCAGCAATTATATAGCAGGCAGTCGAACAAAAAGGCATAAGCAACAAGCCCATAGCAGGCTGCGGTGCTAGCTTGATGATTACGTCTGTTTACATTCGACCAGCAGACAGTGCCGACGCTTGACAACCACAAAATATCTGTGATTTTCGGTTTAATATCTATTAATTGAATTAATAATTAATTAACTAAAAATGTATAATAGGTAGGTATATTAGGTTACTTATTAATTTATGACTTGTGACTTTTAAGTTTTCAACCTATAATAACAATCGGTAAATATGTATTATTAATGTCCTATGTCGTCGATACGATACTTTCATACGTTATATTGTGGTCACATTGAGTAAACGAGTAAATAACTAGCGACCTCTAGGCTCTAGTCACGGAATTCTATACTACATTATAATATACAACAGTGTTGGGTAGTTACCATAGATATTAAAGAATGGATAGACCGTGGCTACATTAATAAAATAGTGGGTAGTGTGCCGGAATGGGGAAGAGAGAAATACTGTTTTATATTATTGCCTCTCATTCTGGCAGAGGTCTCATCAAAAATTATGTTATACAATAGTTATATATTTATCTATTTGTGTTTAGACCCAGGTATAATATATTGAATCATGACAAATTTGATATGTATTGTATATTGATATGGATAGTGGTTTATATCATGGTAGTGGTGGTACGCATCAATGAAATTGACAATAGTTAATTATTTAATTTGATAATTTTGTTTCTCGCCATTTACTATTTGTGATACTTAAATTGTTTATACGTCAGGTTTGTTACAGCACGCCGTACCGTTGCCATATATCGGTTTTCTTCATAATTCGTCACAAACTCGACCCGACTGTTGCAGTAAGTACACTTCAAATTAAAATACAAATTGCATATGACGATAATCTTCCGAAAACACACCTACACAACTATCCGTTATTATTAAAGCGACTGGACGCGGGTGGGTGATTCATCATGGCACGATCGTGCTCCTCGTCTAGCGATACGTCGTCGCCCAAGTACGAGTTCTCGGATTCGGATTCCGATCAGAAGCGGCGTGGAAAAAGAAACCGTCCCCGCCGTTTGCCGACCAGCAACAGTAAGAACGCTGTGGCCGCCCGCATAAACCGCATGAAACAGAAACAGTACGTCAAGGACCTGGAGCAAAAGATGTCGCGGCTTAAACGTGAGATCAAGGGTGTGAAACGGGAGTTGAGAGAACGCGAGGAAAAGTGGGCTAGCAGCCGCCGACAGGTGGCCTATTTGCGCAGCATGATTGCTAACAGCCATCAAATTGGCGGTCTGTTGCGCAACATACGCTGGAGGAATATCGTCCCACAAGGTAGTAATATCGACAAGACTCTAAACGAGTTAAACTCTGACGCGAGTATTGACCACTTTCCTATTACCGCGAGCCATAGTCTGTTTGATGGTTATTTTGATTTGTTAGAGGAAAGAAACAGAGACCACCCCCACACGGTGCCGCCTCCTCCAGTTGCACCTCAAGAAGAAGAGGGCTGGGCACTGTTAGACGGTGTCAACCCTACAACGACTGAGGTAGGTGTATGCTTACATGTATCTAATAGAAGAATATCTGTTGAGTTTTGTGATGAATGCTCAACCCGATTTTACGATAATCCTTACGGTTTGCAAATTTAAGATTTTTTTATTAAAAATATAACTAAAAATACTATTTGTGTACAGTTCAATTGTAGTTTAAATTTATTTATTTAAAAAGCACTTTGTTTTAATGTTACATTAGCTAAACAAATATTCATCATACAATATTTATTTTAAATATTTGATTCGTTAAGTGTTTCTTATTTTGGTGTACCTATCCTCTCGGATATAAAAAATATTTTCGTTGGTCTTTGCCCCTGATTGATTTTGATTTTAGTTTATTAATTTTAACCTTGATATAATACTGTAATTCTTAAATTGTATGTTTGCATAAACCTTAATGACTTTATTATGTCTAAACATGGTACCTACCTATAGGTACAGTTAAATATTACGTTTTTAACATTTTTTTCTCAACAATTTGAATTGCTTTGATTAAATATATTATGTTAATTTTAGAAAACTATTTATTTGTACAATAATGTTATTAATAATGATTCAGTTTTTATTTAGTCAATAAGCATAAGATAATATATTACAACGTAGAAAATTGGTCATGTTTTCAAGATTTTTGTCTTGTGTGTATTTTTTATATTTTGAAAAGGTACATAGTTTTGGGAGGCTGTTGTTTAATTTATCTTATCAGTGGTGATAGGATTACAATATTAACATAATTAAACAGTTGTCTTCCAAAATGTATACTATCAAAAAATTATTTTCTCATTATTAGATAATGGTTATTTTGAAAAATTTCAGCTATTCCAAGAAACCGTCCCATCTAAATATGTGTCAGTGTGCACGTTGTTACCGTAGAAAGACGGTTGTGCGCCTGCATATTCGTGGTGTAAATGATCTTATTAATTAAAAGGTTGGTATACAAAACATCAATTATGAATGCTTTTTATTTATTCTTAATTTATTCAAGAGCAACAAAATTTATATATTTTTAAATCTAAGTTTGATAATAATGTTCATTTATGCTACTCTATATATACCTAAACCCTTAACAACTGCTATTAATCTATGTTGATTTTTTAGAAGCTGTGATCTCGCATGTACAATTTTACATGCCAAACCTTCAAATTAGGCATAAGGTAAGAAGCGTTTTTTGATCTTGATTAATTATCAACTTTTAATGTGTAAAGCATTTAACGTGACCAATTTTCTTATTAAGGACAGTTGAAAAGGTTGGTTAGTTTTATGTATTAAAAACAAATATAATAACACATTTAATTGAACATGAATGATAAATAACTAATATTATCAATTGATGAAAATTAAATAATATAATTTTAATATTTTTCCATTGTCCTTAATATTTTATTATTATTGTTATCAATATTAAGCCTTATGTTTACAATTAAATATCAAATATTTTGTATTAAATGTAACAGCGTTGTTTTATTTTGCTAATATAATTTTTTTATGAATAATTATCAAGTTTGTTATTTGATTTTTATTAAATATTTATACCTATGAAAATGTTATTTAGATTTTTTTTATAAAATTATTTAAGCAAACAATCATTGTTATTATTTTGGACAATATTATAATTTAAGTCGTTTTAATACATACAAAATTTGTGTAAATAGCTTAACATAAACAGTAATTTTAATTATACAAATTAAATTATTGTACAAATTATATTTATTTATACTGTGTATCAGTTTGTATCAATTATAATTTATAACCAATTTAAAAGTTTAATTATGATTATTATTTTAAACCATAAAAAACCATAAACTAAAGATGATAATATATTTCAATTTTTAATTAATAAAATAAAAAAATATACAAGGATAGACTTTTATAGTTTTATTCGTATATTTTTTAAATACTTGAATCCCAGAAAAATGTGTAGTTTATGTATTATCACTCCTTGCAAATAAACAATAAATTTGTGTCATAAATAATACAATAAAACTAATATACATAAATCACTAATACAAAATAATAGGTTTAAATATAAATGTATATAATATAATACATCTTTATAAATTGGAAAGGACAATAATTTAAAATCAATATGATCACTAATAATGAAAATCATTTGTGTATGACTAGAATAGTTATTTTTTAAAATATTTTGGAATTAGTACAAAAGAATAAATTAAGTTTCTAATACATGTTTACAATTAAAAAAATTAAAAATCAACATTGACTGATCATCAATGATCACCAATTAAACATTGCTCTTTCTTTTAAAATCCTAATACTCCATGAAGACCATTCTTTACCACTTATCCAAAGTTCATTAGATGATTCTAAGCCAGCAAGTATGGCGGCACCCTTCCACGTAACAATTTGTGGGTCCAAATCTTTTGGTGAGCTTATAATTTCAATATGCCCTAAAATAACACATCTTAATAAATTAATATTGTACATTTAATATTGAATAAACAATTTGTTCAGTACAAAACAAACCTCCGTAATAAACCTGTTGTGCATTTAATGATATTTTGCTTTTTAACCAAGCGCACGCCCCATCAAATTTAAGTCCACCGCCTACAACCAATATGCTGCTATACATTTTTCTTTTGATTTCATCCGAAGCTAAATATAAATTCAATTTTACAGGTTATATGTTTTTTTTTTCATAAAATGTCAACAACAAACTTACTTAACCGTTCAATACTTTGTACAATGACTTTATCAAGACTTTGTGGTCTTCCTGTTTCAATGTCAAAATAATTTCCTGCAGTTTCAATTTGATCAACACATATTTCTTCTTCTGTGTTGTGCACAATACTGTTTTCGATTTGTGTTTCAGTTTCCATTTCACGACCAGTGCCACGTCTCTAAACAAAAATAGTTGAACAATCATGGAACATAAACAGTGGTGTACAGACGCGGTATCCACGTCAGCAGATTTTTGATTCTAGCTGTATAGTGTATACTCATTGTAAAATATCATTTTATGGGTATACGCTCCTAAAAAAAACTCAAAAACCAAATAAAACTTATTTAATAGATAACTTTATTTTTGTGCGTACCTATACCCATAATTATATTTACCAATACACCACTGAATATAAATAATATACATTAAATGTTTTTTGGATAATTACACTAGTTTCTCTTAAAAATTCTTCGTCATAAGGATCTTCAGGTAGTGACTTTGATGTTTCTTGAATCACATAATGGTTGTTATCAATGATACCTAACAACATTGGATTGAACATGCCTAAAACTGCTATCATTGCTTCATCGCCAACCTAAGTGTAACGCAAATTGAAAAAGTCTAAATTAATTCAAAATCATTAGTTTTACTTGTTCTAGATATTACCTGTATTGTGTATTGTATTTGTTTTTTAGTAGGTTTCATTACAGTCACCGTTTTTTGCACAGCACCACATCTATCCAAATTTAAATGACAAAACTCTTGTTTCAATTGATTTAGTAGTATGGCGTCATAATAATTAGTCATGGGATTGCATTCATGATACGGGAAACTACATTTTTTAAGTAGCCAATGAAACGTTTGAGTAATATTCCCTAAAAAATTAACATAAACTAATATTAAAAATTAAATAACTTAAAAGAATAATTCCATAGATTGGTCGTTGAACACATATTATTTTACCCTTTTTTTAAAGGATAAATGAAATAAAATATACAAAAACTAAAATATTAATTCTTTGTAATTAAAACAAATTTTTATATTTTTATAATATAACATGCTTAATTTTACTTTATACTTATGAAAAGAATATAATTAATGATTTACCTCCACCATAGCGTAATCTAATCCGTGTGTTTATTTGAGATATACCATCCTCTACACAGCTCACTGATGTTTTCCTGTGACCAACATCTACTACACATGCATAACCCAAACCTGCACCATAAGTTGCCGCCACATGGTCCTAAATTGAAGTTTTAACATAAACATTGTATTAATAAAGATTAATCATTTAATAGAACTTTAGACCAGTGGTTTTCAACCTTTTTTTAAACACAACACTGATATTCACAATATTTTCATGGCACATGTCTCAGCCATGAACAACATTTTCTTCATGAAATACCATTTTTTTTTTCTTTCAAAGTCATTATTTAATTTTTTACACCAAATTAGTCTAAAAAACATTCAAAAGCTCGAGGTACACTTAAAGAACGCTTGCGGCACATCGGTTGAAAACCAATGCCTTAGACAAAAATAAATCTCAAGTATATCTACAATTACTTGTATAAGAAGACAAGCTTTAAACTTCATACTCAATAATATCATTGACATCATTTCTCTAACATGAACTCTGTTGAATATGTCTGGAATAATTAGAATCACTTTGTAGTTCTAGAACATAAAATTATAATTTAGATTATATGAACACATTTAATATTTTGAAGCTAACAATAATTAATTTCTATAATAATTATTAATGTATTTAATGACAATAGTAGATATCATAGTTTGATAAAGGGAGAACGAAGTGGCTGAGCGGACTAAGGCGTCGGTTGCGACGCACACCGACGCCGGTTCTATACCTCATGGGCGGCATTTTTCTTCAGGCAAGTCACGGTGTCCGGAGAACAAGTGCCACCATCCCAAACCAGGGCAAGGCAGATACCTACGGGTGCCCAAATCAAAAATTCTGCCAAAACAAAACATTGTGTTCCTCCCCCTATCAATAAAAACCTAGAAACAAAATCAAAAATAGCTAATGGCCTTACTGCCTTAGTTGCCAGACTCAAGCTGAATAAAAAAAAATTTAAATTGTTAATAATATTCAATCTAAATTGTTTCTATTTTTGGTACCTTAAAAATCTTAATTTTTTTATATTTGCAGTGGCGCCAAACCTATAACCCAAGAGGGGCGACCGCCCCCTCCCTTTTTACGGTGGGGGTCCGTGGGTACCCCAAAAAATTATTTAGAGTATGTGAATAATATTGTTTGATACCTACCTATAAAAAACGCTATACCTGTTAAAAAAATTGGTAAATTATAATAGGTGCATTAATACATGTGACTTTATATTTGTTAAGTAAAACATGAAACTAGTTGTGAACGCTTTCATTAGGAATAATAAAATAAAAATGAAAATAGAGTAAAAATAAGCCTTCCCAAAATATTTGAGTTAGTTACGCACTTGTGCTACTAAATATTGCTCTTAAAAAATTGTAATTTAAAGTCGTTTGAACCATGAATAGTGCTTACAATGTATGATTGTCGATTGTGGTTGAAAAAGTGACATCATGAATAATATAAAAGTATTAGTCTCTAAAGGAACTTTAGAGTGTTGAATACATGCATTGGGGATTTTCTAAACGGGGGTGGTGGTCCGTATAACCTTTTACTTGCCCCCCCTTTTAAAATATAGTTCGGCGCCACTGTATATTTTTTATAACTCAAATCAACAAACTGCTTGGTTCTGTAATATGTAATGTTTGAGTCTCTAATAGCATATAATTAATGATTACTGATTAGGTTAATATTATATTTCCAATCCAACATGTATTTAATAAGGTGTTTTATTAAGTTAAAAATCAGATTCATTTAATTATTAAATAAAAAATGTTATAACTTTAGAACTATAGACAATATAGAACTTTTTGTTTAAATTTAACAACAAAGCAAAGCAAGAGATAACATTTTTAATTGATTTTGCCTTACATGAAATTCTGAAGTCTTAATATTTAGTAATTTGTTTATACAATGTGTCCAAATGGTTTCCAGATCTGCCAACACACCTGTTAACGAACCTCCAATTTGGCCATTAATGTTTAATTCCCCATTCAGTATTGGAAAGAAAACATTATAATCCAGTTCAGGAGCTATATTGAAAATCTGAAATATAGATGGAATTTATTATATACCCGTGGCTATTTTAATAAATTGATTATATGAAAAATGCTGACTTCTTCTCCATACACAATATCGCCAACTAAAGATGACTTAGTGTGCGCACGTGGTACATTATCCTTGTATTTCGGGACAGAATTTCGATTATAAGCAGCTATTTGTTGAGGCGGTGTTGCATACCTTCTGTCACCATTGGACTGCAGGCTTGACTGTAGCATATGAGACGCTTGCAGTCTACTGTCTTCCATGGCTGCTAATGTGTCTGAGTTCTAAAAATATGTAGGTTAGATTACTTAAGTTTTCAAACATGTAGGTTTTGATTTTATTAGTAAATGGAAATATATATCAACATACTTTATACGGGAAACTTGGTAATATTTGGTCCCTCCTATTTCTAATCTCTGAAAGTAGATTAACCCTGGCCAAACCATGAACATATTTGAATGGAGTAACATCACTCGCACGGCCAATTCGTAGATACAGAGATCCTGGATGTATGATGATCACCGAGTTTGACGATACTTTTTCTAACTATAAATTAGTTAGAGGTTCAAACGATTTGTTAAAAAAACATATTAAATAATTAAAAATAACGATCATAATTACCTCCAAATTGTTCTCGTTCACAATCGGCATGATTTTGTAATAAATGATACTATTCGCCAATAATTCTTTTGTCGAAATTATACAAGCTTACATCTGCCCGATTTTTCTTAATAGCTTCAACGGTTTGGAATTATTTTCAACACTAATAAAATAGGTAGGAATATTATGGGTGCCTAATACTACACCATTATTGAAAATTTCTTCTACACGGAAAAAATAAATATTAAATATTGTCTTTCGTGCAATTTGACTAGTGACCAATTGAGCGTTAATTTTATGTTTTCAAACAAAAATGATAAGGAGCGATGAATAAAAAAATTATATTCAATGATAATAAATACTAAATAGTGTAAATAGTATTTTATTCTGTGATAGTATTTAATATTGATAAAAAAAATATGCAAACGCCAAACTGCAACTTGCAAGGCACAATCTTTTAGATTAATCAGCAAGGATATTAATTTATTTTTTAGTACACAATCTATAAATTTTTTACAATAACTGTGAAGTGTAAGTGCTGATGGGTGTCGGATTCACTGTGGGTAGCCGAAGAGGCCTTCCATTTAATGCATTTCGGCGTGGCCGCGTGGGTAGTTTGGCTTATTCGGCTAGTAGGTCACGACACCATTTAACTTTTAAGCACCTTCAGTGGCATACACACGTGGAAGGGGGGTGAACCCCAGGAATGTCCTGACAATTTTTGGGGCTCTGGGAAAAGTAAATTTGAGGGTCCTAAATCTAAAATGTCATTATTGTCAGTTGCATTTGCGTATATGGTATATGCATAGGTAAAAACGGGCAAGGGCGCAAATAGACTTAAAAATATAGTACGTTGTCGTACCTACAACAATATGAATATTTCAATAAATTAATAATACGACACGTCATATAATTTAATTTTATATAATAATATTCGTAAATTAATAAGTCGAAAAAATACCCAATCAATAACATAGGTACCTACAAAATTTAGTAGCATTGCTTATATGTATGCGGGACCGGATTGGTTAGGCGAGCTACCAAGAAAATCTCGGTAGGCCGCTTAAAGTTTGGGCCAGTCTTGTGAGTGTGAAAGAAAATAAATTCATGTTTAAAATACGATTGGCCACCTATAAGTTCGTAATATTTATAGACGTCATTTTAGGCCACTGAATATGCAAATGGGCCGCTTATAGAAGCGTGAAATCTGGATGGACCGATACATACCAATTCGGCCCTGAATGTATATTACAATATAATAGGTACCTACCAGGGGCGGATTGGGGAGAGATTCCGGCCCGGGAAAATACAAAGTATACCGGCTTACCAATTTACCAAATATTTAATTTAAGCCAACATAATATTATTATGTATTACTATTTTTACATAACTACACGTTTGGCAAGATATGAAATTTATAAAACTTTATTCGTAGTGTATATACATCGATATCAAATTTATTTTTATTTTTGAACAGTTTATGTTTACACATTTATAATAGTCCAAACTCCAAGTACTTATATATAACACAGTAAAAGTGAATAATTTAAATTACCAATGTTACGATTTTTGTATTTGATAAGAAAGGTTATTACCTATTCAATAATATTTAATAATGCGTTTTTAGACTTAAATAAAATCTTATAATTTACTTCCACTTAATATACCTGATAGGTAAATTAACAGAATCAACATGCAAAATGTATGTGTTTTTTTTTATTTTCTAAAAAAATGTTTTACTGTGGTTTATTCATAATAACATTATGTAGGTACTTCAATTCTAAACAATCAGAAAAATTGTATAGTCTTGTTTTCCTTTAGTATTATTATGTAATATAATATTGAGTAAAATGTTTTGTCTCCGTCTTAGTACAATCTAACAAATTATCGTTCACTATCTGTATTCACCGATCAGCCGAAACGATATAATAATAATATTTAGCTGTAGTAACTAAATATTATAGAAATTATTGTATACCTACGTAATGTTACTTCCCTATTATTCAATAATTTATAAATTCGCCTAAACGATCGGTTAATTTCTGACCCAAATGATATATGCTTTACTCAAGTTAATTTTGGATTATTCGCCCAAACGAATGACGCTCAAATTTTTTACACCCGAAATACGTGTACTACTGTATTAGTATACTGAATTTAAAAGTGTATTAAACAATTTTCGGAAATTTAAACACTGTTCAAAAGTTACAGCAAATCATGGTTTTTGAATATTACAGTGCTTACTGCTCAAATCAGGTTGACTTTTTCTATTTTCTACTTCCACGGGATGTCAAGTAAAGTAGACTTTTTCCGAAGTTTGTCGTTACCTAGAGATCACTCAATGTGGTTTTACATAACATATCAAGGGTTGTTTTCGATTTTAACTGTCCTAACTAGTGACCCCGCTATATTACATTTGCTGTTTTTGCTTTTCGAAAAATACTATATTTTTGCTTTCTGTCTCTCATCGTTGCGCCATCATAGATTGCCTACCTGATATACCTACTATTGCATACTGTCCGCAATCCAATTCGTATTATCTTATTTTGAAAAATCGGGAAAAAAATGCAAATTTACTGGGCTGGTACCTAATAGGAATTTAAGAATACATAGTTATTTGAAAAAGCGGCCCACCGGGAAAACTCCCGAATTCCCGGTGGCCCAATCCGCCCCTAGACTACCTACTCACTGATATTAGGTACTTAATACAATATACAGGTGTCCCGTGAGGATTTACCTATTAGCCGTAGAGGGGGACTCGCCGCCCGGACAAAAACCGGTTTTTTGCAGTTTTACTTATTAATTAAAAAAATTATTAAAAATCAGGAAATTAATGAAATTAAAATGTTGAAACGTCAATATTTTCAGAAAAATGAACTCTACAAAATGGCAATCTTCAATATTTTTTTAAATAATTAATTAAAAAAATAATTTTTTTAACTTTTTTACCAAAACATAAAAAAAAAAAAAATTAGTTATTTGTAGTGCTTACCATAGGCGCACATAGGGGGGTGCTTGGGGGTGCTTAGCACCCCCAAGCTTCAAACTAGCACCCTCAGTTTATTTCAGGATTTCACCAATCATTTATAAGCTATCGTGGTTTATTGGTTCGGAATTTTTCTTTTCATTACAAATATTGACAACTGTTTACGAATTCACGAATTCATTTTTTTTTTTTTTTTTCTGTCATCATCTTTTAGGACAGTAAAAGTGTCAAAAGCAAAAATTTCACAGTAGTTTTCAAAAGCGCCGTGAAAAACAAAAGAAAAATTAAGGAAAAACGGGAATTTTTACGCAAAATCTGTTTTCGAGAAAATCGATTTTGGTTTTTAGTGTAACTTTAAAACAAATGACCGTAGATATATCAAATTTTCACTGGTTATTTATATTTCTATTTTCTATACATGATAAAATTTTCTAAATATTTTGAGTTATTTTGAGCTTTTTACGGACATTTTTAGTTTCCATTTTTTTTAGTTTTTTTTTCAATAAGTATCAATAAAATTTTATTTGTTGGGTATAAAAGCTTAAACATTTAATAGAAGGCTCCTAATAAATTGTTTCAAAGACAGATGAAAAATATTAAAAATCCTTAGTCACAGTTTTTTGTTATAAGCATTTAAATTCCAAATATTTACAAAATACGTGAAAATGACGAAACTTTGCAAAGTATTTCGTGTTAGAAATTCATAAAAATTTTTCTTTTTAAATCTAAGATATGAAAATGTAATGCAAGATTCCTCATAAGTTTCTCTACCTTTATCAAAAAAAAAAATGTCTACAAGAATCTCAAATTAAATTTTTATGAACGTTTGAAATTCATATTTTTACAACATTTGATATTCACTCGATTTCTCATGTAACGATTTTCTAATTTTGTTGTAATTAAAAAACGAATGACTGTAGATACTTGAAAATTTTACTAAATTTTTATATTAGCATTTCCTATACACCATATAGTTTTCAAAATATTTTGATTCTTTTTGAGCTATTTACGGACATTTTCAGTTTTCAATTTTTTTAATTTTTTTTTCTATTCATATCAATAAAATTGTATTTGTATGGTAAAAAAGCTTGAAAATTTAATGCAAAGCTCCTGATATAATGTTACAATAACACTTGAAAAATATTAAAAATACATAGGCACAATTTTTTTTATAATTATTTAAAATTCAAATTTTGACAAAATTTATCACATTTAAAATTTAATAATAATTTTATAGTTAAAAATTTATAAAATGTTCAACTTTTATAGCTAATGATTGAAAATTTAAAACAAGATTCTACGTAAATAGGTTATATATAAATTGCTTTATTCACCTTAGTATCATCAAATATACTTAGTAATATCATAGGCTGACTAACCGTCTTCGCTCAGAATCGTTTTTCTTATACAATGATGTTAGTATATCATTGAATTCAAATTTAATACCATCGATTATACAGTGACCTACTTGTACCCTACTGTACAGCAGAGCGCCTTTTTTTGTTTATCAAACTTAAATAACTTTTATTTTCATTTTGATATCGGAAATATAAAAACAAAGTTACAGAGGAAATTTTCTCATTTTTATAGTGTGAACATTTAGTTTCTTAGCTTAGAGTAGAGACTGAATGTTTTTTATACCCGTGCAAAACAGTTTTGCCTATGTTGTACCTACGTCTGTAATACGGAGACAACACATGTGGGTGTACCTAGCGTCTTCTTTACAATCATACAGACGATTTGATACATTGCACTTTAGAAATTATTGTATACACTATACAAATTAAATCTAATGCAATGCAGAAATATTAGGATTAGGGGGGTGTGGGGGGCAAAGCCCCCCCACGGATCTGTGAACCATAAATTATCCCAGCACCCCCTAAATTCACACCCTATGTGCGCCTATGGTGCTTACCTCTGTGAGTCTTAATAAGAAAACAGAATTACGATATCTCTATTATTTCAGGAGATATCGCAATGAGTAAATCCTCACGGGACACCCTGTATAAATATATTTTAAATTAACCTTCCTACTTTTTAAATCAGCAAATGTGTCAATAATATC